TTCCTCCCTCACACCTCCCTGTTGGTCAGTAGGGCCACCCATCGCATTAATGGGGAAGAATGGGACTTTCTGAGGTCAGGTCAGAATTTGTCTGGCAAGCATCAAACAACGCAATTGCTGTGGCCTACATACACCACCAAGGGGTACAAGAAGTCTGACATCCCTGAAAGAAGTAATCCTAATTCTCTGTTTAGTGGAGAACCACATTTCAGCTCTCAATGCTACTTAAATACTGAAAGTGGAAAATTGAGAAGAAGACTTTATAAGTCACCAATGCCTGGACTGATCTTGAGATCTTCCTGATGCTCTGTCAGAAATGGGCAGCACACGATATTGACATGACTTCCAGGTCCCACAAGAAACTAAACAGGTTTAGCTAATTCCAGGGATTCACAGATCTTTGCAGTGGATATCCTGGTGATTCCTTGGTCCCTGTTCAGATTGGTATGTGCATTTCATCCAGTGAAACTTCTCCTTCGACTTCTCCACAAGATAGAGGAAGAACAGATTCCAGTGATCCTCATTGCTCCAAACTGGCTCAGGAGAACTTGGTATACAGACACACAGACTCCTGGCATACAAACGACGGCCTCATCCACTCAGGCCAGACCTCTGGTCACAGGGCCTCTGTTCCACTCTGCTTCTCAGATGCTGACTTTAATGGTATGACTGATTGAATCCCAGATTCCACAGAGATAGGGTCATTACTGACACAGTCCTTTCCACTCTGCTTAGCAGGAGAATGTACTTTTCCTAGTATCTACTATTGCATCTTCAAGGGCTATTTTGCTTGGAGAAAAGCAGACAGTGGATATTTTCTATATAAGTAGGTAATAGAGCGCTGGGAATGCATAAGTGAAGCAGCTAGCATAAAAGGTAACCTTGGGACCCAGATAGAAACATGAGAAATAAATATGCAGCGCTTAGGAAATTAAATATGAACAAACAGAAACATGAGCAGCATAACTGCATGACAAATTCAGTCCATATTGCATGGTGCGATAAAGTGACAGGTGCAATTGTCCTAATAGTTCATGTTCAGAGAAATTCGTGACTCTTGTGATCTCGTGATTTGTACAAATAATGCACTAACCAGATAGCGCAATCAAAGCGCATGGAGCAATTAAGACCCGCTCCTGGTGCTCTGGACTTGTAATATTAGGAGGATGTCATCTGTAGGTTTGGCCACCAGATGTCATCAATCCAGGTATATAGGTAAGTCATCAACCAGAAAGATCATCAGCGGGGGAGGGGGTGATCATGTATCATTCCAGATGGACGGAACCTTCAAAAGCGGGCTCCCATATCATAGATGAGACCCAGAGAAGCCTCTGATAGTGTAGTATGTTTATTAAATAAAAACTTACACCAGATACAATAAAGGAAAAAACTTACATCAAAGTAAGGTCAGGCCACCAGGGTGTCAATCAGGATGGCTTTGTGGTATGTATACACAGGTCAAGGGCACCTCCCTAACGCGTTTCGTGTACAAAACACTTCCTCAGAGGGAGTGTGCCCGTGATAAATGATACTGCTTTTATAAAGAGGTAATTGGCGCGCTTTTGGGCGATCTAGCGCCGCCAATTACGGTTCGCGCATGCGCACTAGCGACATGGCGGCCATTTTGCCGGTGATTTTGGTGTGGACGGAGAACGGACTTTCGCGCATGCGCAGTGAGCGCTCGCGGCCATTTTCCAGGAGTTCCTAAATAGGGAAGGCATTCGTGTTTGCGCTGTGAGCGTTCACGGATACCATTTGATGGTGCCACACTGTGTATATACCAGAAGACATCCTAGACAGACCCAGAGGCAATAATCTGTGATGCCTCTGGGTCTGTCTAGGATGTCTTCTGGTATATACACAGTGTGGCACCCATCAAATGGTATCCGTGAACGCTCACAGCGCAAACACGAATCCCTTCCCTATTTAGGAACTCCTGGAAAATGGCCGCGAGCGCATCACTGCGCATGCGCGAAAGTCCGTTCTCCGTCCACACCAAAATCACCGGCAAAAATGGCCGCCATGTCGCTAGTGCGCATGCGCGAACCGTAATTGGCGGCGCTAGATCGCCCAAAAGCGCGCCAATTACCTCTTTATAAAAGCAGTATCATTTATCACGGGCACACTCCCTCTGAGGAAGTGTTTTGTACACGAAACGCGTTAGGGAGGTGCCCTTGACCTGTGTATACATACCACAAAGCCATCCTGATTGACACCCTGGTGGCCTGACCTTACTTTGATGTAAGTTTTTTCCTTTATTGTATCTGGTGTAAGTTTTTATTTAATAAACATACTACACTATCAGAGGCTTCTCTGGGTCTCATCTATGATATGGGAGCCCGCTTTTGAAGGTTCCGTCCATCTGGAATGATGCATGATCACCCCCTCCCCCGCTGATGATCTTTCTGGTTGATGACTTACCTATATACCTGGATTGATGACATCTGGTGGCCAAACCTACAGATGACATCCTCCTAATATTACAAGTCCAGAGCACCAGGAGCGGGTCTTAATTGCTCCATGCGCTTTGATTGCGCTATCTGGTTAGTGCATTATTTGTACAAATCACGAGATCACAAGAGTCACGAATTTTTCTGAACATGAACTATTAGGACAATTGCACCTGTCACTTTATCGCACCATGCAATATGGACTGAATTTGTCATGCAGTTATGCTGCTCATGTTTCTGTTTGTTCATATTTAATTTCCTAATGGATATTTTCTATTCCTTGCATCCTGTCCTTCCTCCAGTCTGGTCTGGGCTATCATCTGGCTCTTAGTACTCTAAAGGGTTTAGGTCTCTGCCTTAGCCGTTCTGTTACAAAAACATTTGGTTTTGCACACTCTTGTCCTTTTGTACAAGGAGTTGCTCGTGTTAATCCCCAACTTCAATCTCCTGTGTCTTTCTGGGATCTCACTCGGGTGCTTTTGGTTGTTCAAAAACTTCCATTTGAATCAATCCTATTCAAAGATCTCATGAGAGAGGTGACCTTTTTTGTGGCCATTACATAAGCCAGATGTAACTTCAAGTTAGTGACTCTTTCTTGTAAAAGGAGCCTTTTCTTGTCTTACATTGGTCCTAAGATCCAGTCCCTGTTTGCTCCCCAAGGTGGTCTCTTATTTTCACCTCATTGAATCTCCTCTCTTCCCTATTCCCTGCCCCAAAACATATTAATGAGATTTCACTCCACTTCCTGGATGTGGTCAGATAAGTTAAGGTCTCTCTATCTTGGAGTACAGTGAGTACTCAGGTTCCTCCCCTCTGTCTTCTTTTTGTCTCCTTTTTGCTTGCCACCAACTGGAGTCCCATGAAGTGGCCGGGGTTAAGTGAGGGTGCAGTCACTGCTCTCCACTCCGTGTTAACAGAGAACTAAGCGATCAGTGGTCATGTGATCGCTCAGTTCTTGGGCTTAGAGCTGGCGGGGGACAGCTGCAGCCTCACAGCGATGCTGCAGCATAGAAGGGAGTGTGTATGTTTATTTATTTAGTAATACCAAACTTCTCCTTTGAACAATTTTGCTAGCTAGATGCTTTCTAAAAAATATGCATCCTACATGTGACAGGAACTCTAGGTCATTAGCTCTGGGAAAAGATAACGTGTTCCATTGTTTTACTTCATTTCTTCCTCAACTTTATTTTTAAATTTTTATAAGACTTTTTGTTGGGTCCCATTATCTTGAAAGTTCTTTTCTGCTCAGTCAAATGCATCTGAACATTTATCCATTTCTGGTTTCACACTTCTCATTTGTGCTATCTTCTGGTACCAGTTTAGAAATGTTTTCCCTCGTGCATTGTCCCCCCAAGAACCACACTGATGTCCTTTATGGAAAAAATATGCCTTCAGTGTTTGAGCCATACACTTTGACTCATATCGCATCGCATCCGCGCCAAGAAGTGTCAGTGGACCTTTAATATTCCTCCCTATAAAATATACTGAACTTTTGAATATATTAATTATAAGTTCTGTGTATTGTGTGTATCATGAATTTATTTAAAGGGAATTATACTGTTTTTTTTGTGAATGTTTTTTTAAACATTTTTTTTTTGTTTTACGGTTATTTTTTTTTTAATATTTATTCACAGAAACTTTTTATTTTACAAAAAAATAAAGGTAAGGTACTTTGCCCTATTCTGTCTGGAGAGCGTGCTGGACTTGCTAATAAGAAAGCCCAGCTCTAGCTCTGCATTGGACTACTCCTTTAAATGGTAAATCCAGAAGAGCTCCTTCCTCTACTAAGTGAGAGGGTTAGAAGTGTGAGTTCACGTAAGCAGTGTACAGCTGACCCTTTCAGAATGATAGGTCTTGAAATGACAATGGGACCGATGGCACCGTTCTGTGCTGTATTAATGAATAAACAAAAAACATTACCAGCACTCCAGAAGTATTCAAAACCATGGATATGGATTGTCACAGGCTTTTTGTGTAACAATTTGGGCCTCAAAAGACCCCTTCATCAAATCAGACAAGGTTTTAATAGTCCAGTAGTCATAATCCTACATCCAAATATACTGGCTGTTGGGAAACTTTTATATTAAGTTTTTTTTTTTCTTTTAGCTTTACAGGTTAAAAGATAATTTTTTCATGTTAATTTACAGAAATAATAGGGCTTTTTCTTTACAGAGAATGGATTTTTTTTTTTCTGCCTAAATGCTTAAAAATGCCTCTCAACTACCTAATCTGCATGAACACATTGGATAACATTAGTTGCTTCTACAGTCAAACTGCTAAGAGCAGCGTTTTTTTTTTTTTTTTTTTTTTTTAAGTGTGCGTGGAGCGTAAGGAATTGTATTGGCTTTGTAATAGAATACAAATGGAGTGAAAAATATGCTACATTCTCTTTAAAGTGGTAGTTAAACCAGGAGGTAGCTTTGATGAGATGAAATAAGACTTGGAATATATTCTGCTGTGACTGTGAAAAGGCCCGAGTTGATCTGTTGAGTTTTTCAGAGGCTGATTCTTCCGTGTATTGGCCAATATGTGATCTCTTGTATTTTGCAGGTTGTAAGTTCTACAAATGGTGAGCTGAATACAGATGATCCCACAGCTGGACACTCAAATGCACCCATCACTGCCCCAGCAGAAGTTGAAGTTCTAGATGAAACAAAGTAAGTTTCACATACATTTAGCTGTGCTGTCAAAACTTCCAATCTTTATTTGATGTGGTTTTATTATTGCATTCGACTTTAGGCAGATTGCTGAAGTTGTTTTTACAATGTAGCTTTGGTCTATAATAAAAAAGCAGTTGCCTGTGTACATCACTATGATTAGTTCCCAAGAGAAAATACTACTTGCTGCTATTTATTAGTTTCTAGTATGTTGACATGGCCTACTTTAAATGTGGTTAGCAATTTCAGAGGGAGAACAAGCACTTTTATCTTAGAATGGATTTTGGTTATGGTGGCATATGTCTCCTGCCATGTGGGAGTTTATGGAAAGATCTTTAGTCGCAGTAGAAACTGGAGGGCACACATAATAGTTGTTTCTGTGTTGTGTCCTCTAATGTATTCCCCATGAAAATATAATGAAAGCTCCAAAAACCAGTGTCAGCAATAATTTCAGTTGTTAGTGTCTTTCACTTATAATAACTATGACTGCAGATATCCTTGCCAGATTTCTGCGACAAGTGAGGAAACCGAGACTAAGCCCTGCCTACATTTTACCAAGAAGTGAGAAAATCATTTTTAGTGAAGGTGCTGTTTCATTAGACACTTGGGGTTATTTACTAAAACTGCATGGCACAAAATCTGGTGCAGCTCTGCACAGAAAGTAATCCGCTTCCAGGTTTTATTGTAAAAGCTTAATTGACCAATCTGAAGTTAGAAGCTGATTGGCTATCATGCAGTGCTGTACCAGTTTTAGTACATCTCCCCCACTGTCACTTTTCCCAATCAAAGCAAAGTGACAGTGTCTGCATATAGCCTATCCCCCAGACCTGTATGTTTACCCAAACATCCTCCCTTCCACTGCAGCATCCCCACCTGTCTAAACTTAGGAATTTACTGGCGTTGGAGTTTAGACGGGATGATGTAGGAGTTTTGTGGTTTGGTGATTGGCCTTACCTGGAAGCCCTGCTACTCTATCATGACTTTGTGACTAAGGAACCAATGGTAGCAGCAATTCAGTAACTAGCTGAAAATTGCCGGAGGAAAGACTCCCCTTCGTGAAAATCCCAGGCATTTAGCATATTAGGAATGATATGTCAAGTGTGTGTAAGTGTATGTGTGTGTGTGTATATATATATATATATATATATATATATATATATATATATGTGTGTGTGTGTGTGTGTGCACACTATATTGCCAAAAGTATTGCGACGTCTGCCTTTACACGCACATGAACTTTAATGACATCCCAGTCTTAGTCTGTAGGGTTCAGTATGGAGTTGGCTCACCCTATAACAGCTTCAACTCTTCTGGGAAGGCTGTCCACATGGTTTAGGAGTGTGTCTATGGGAATGTTTGACCATTCTTCCAGAAGCACATTTGTGAGGTCAGGCACTGATGTCGGACGAGAAGGCTTGGCTCACAGTCTCCGCTCTAATTCATCCCAAAGGTGTTCTTTCAGGTTGAGGTCAGGACTCTGTGCAGGCCAGTCTAATTCCTCCACCCCAAACTCTCTCATCCATGGCTTTATGGACCTTGCTTTGTGCACTGGTGCGCAATCATGTTGGAACAGGCAGGGGCCATCCCCAAACTGTTCCCTCAAAGTTGGGAGCATGAAATTGTTCAAAATGTCTTGGTATGCTGACACCTTAAGAGTTCCCTTCACTGGAACTAAGGGGCCAAGCTCAACCCCTGAAAACAACCCCACCCCATAATCCCCCCTCCACCAAACGTTACACTTGGCATAATGCAGTCAGGCAAGTACTGTTCTCGTCCATTGGATTGCCAGACAGAGAAGCATAATTCATCACTCCAGAGAACATGTCTCCACTGCTCTAGAGTCCAGTGGTGGCGTGCTTTAAACCACAGCATCCGACGCTTTGCATTGCTCTTGGTAATGTAAGGCTGGGATGCAGCTGCTCGGCCATGGAAACCCATTCCCTGAAGCTCTCTACACACTGTTGTTGTGCTAATCTGCAGATCACACGAAGTTTGGAGATGTTTAGCTATAGACTCTACAGACAGTTGGTGACATCTGTGCACTGTGTGCATCAGCATGCACTGACCCCGCTCTGTCTTTATACATGGCTTACCACTTAGTAGCTGAGTTTCTGTTGTTCCCAGTTGCGTCCACTTTGTAATAATACCACTAACAGTTGAATATTTAGTAGCAAGGAAATTTCACGGATGGACTTATTGCACAGGTGGCAAGCTATCATGGTACCACGCTTGAATTCACTGAGCTCCTGAGAGCGACCCATTCTTTCACAAATGTTTGTAGAAGCAGTCTGCATGCCTAGGTGCTTGATTTTATACACCTGTGGCCATGGAGGTGATTGGAACACCTGAATCCAATTATTTGGAGGGGTGTCCTAATACTTTTGGCAATATAGTGTGTGTGTGTCTGTGTTTCTATCTCTATATCTGGATCTTTTCTTTCAATACTTGGATGTATTGGCTGAATACATTTTCTGTTTTTGGCCTTTCTTCCCCTTTATTTTCACTTGGTGATCCGGCCAGTAAGTTTGTTATTTTCCAAACGTTAGATTTTTTCATTCTTTACAGCTGTGCTAAACTATGCATTTTTGTCCTGAAGAATGGATATAATCCCTAATAAAACACATATATATTTTCTATAAGATGCGAATCGATAGAATAGAAAGTTGAAAACTTTGAGTATATTTGCACAACTGTTTATCAAACCTGTTTTTTTCAGTAAACAGTACCTTAAACTTTATTTTAAAGTAGAACTATAGGCAAAACTTTTTTTTTCATTTTGAATAGAAAAAGGGAGGGTTGTTCCTGTCAGATTTTATGTTTGTCATCTGTGTCCTGTTGGGGAGATTTACTTTCTGTCCCATAACTAAAACAGGAAGTGAGCAGTAATCCCTGCAAATTATGTCACCAGAACTAGTGTCCCCATTGGAAGATTTCTCATCTGTTCATTTCCTGGGGACAACCCAAAACTTGAAATCTTTTTACTTTCACTTTCAGACCCGGTGCACACCAATGCGGTGCGGGAAACACTGCAAATGCTGTGCATTTCCCTCACCGCATTGCAATCGCATTTGATTCATGTGATCTGGTGCAGGTGTCAATGATAAATTAATGACCACCCTGAAACAGATTGCAAAACTCGATGCGATTGCCAGAAATCGTATCACATGGCTGAGAACACCCATGCAATACGATTCAGGTGCGGATTTAAAAAGGGGCCCTGCACCTTATTAGTGCAGATGCTATGCGATTTGAGCCATGAAAAGTGTATGGCTCAAATCGCACCGCACAGTCATTTGCATGTAATTCGCACAGGAATACGGTGCAATTCCTGTACAAATTACATGCTGTGTCCCACACTTTGTAATGTGAACCTGGGCTCAATGATGATGGTAAACAGGACAAATCGAGAGGGTGAATCTATCAAATGGGCAAACACAAAGCAATAGAAACCTTACAGGTGTTCTAATCCCTCCCCACACTATCGAAAACGTAAAAAAAAAAAAGAAAGTTTTGCCTTTAAGATATACTTTAATGCACACTAACATAATATAATATCTGCTTTATTTTGTAAACTATAAAATATAAGATTGTTTTAACCACCCTCCAGAGGATTTACCCCCCTTCCTGACCAGGCCATTTTTTGTGATACGGCGCTACATTATTTTATCTGACAATTGTGCGGCCATGCAAAGCTGCACCCAAATGAAATTTATGTCCTTTTTTCCCCCACAAATAGAGCTTTGTTTCGGTGGTATTTGATCACTTGTGCGTTTTTTTCTTTTTTGCGCAATAAATAAAAAAATACCGACACTTTTGAGGAAAAAAAAAAAACAATATTTTTTACTTTTTGCTATTAAACATGTCCAGGAAAAAAATTTTTAAAAATCAAATTTCATTATAAATTTAGGCCAAAATGTATTCTGCTACGTCTTTGATAAACAAAACCCAATGCGTGTAAATTAATTGGTTTACGTGAAAGTTATAGCATCTACAAATGGTGGTTAGTATACTGGAATTTTTTTGCCCTAATCGTTATGGTGGTGATCAGCAACTCATAGCGGAACTGCGGCAGGCATTCTGACACTGGGGGGAACTGACTTGGTGTCACTGACCTCCCCAGTGACACCAATACAGTGATCAGTGTTAATAAAAAGCACTAACACTGTACTAATGGCACTGGGCATGAAGGGGTTACCATCTGTGGCGATCAAAGGGTTAACTTTGTGGTGTTTTACTACGTGGGCTTCTGTGTTTCACTGTAAGCACACTGCTTTGTATGGCTCTTCTATGCACAGCCATACAGTGTGCAGGAGCTGACAGGGTGGAGATCTGTATTGTTTACATATAAGTCTCTCCCCCCGTTAGAGATACTCGGCAATCACCGGGTGCCAGCGAGTAAATACCGACCGGGACCCGGTGATTGACAGCCGAGGCTGCAAATGGCGGTGCAGGTCCCCTACCCCCTAACCAGAACTACAAAATTACGTATATATAGTGCCTCCCGGTAGCAGTATTTCTGCTATAGGGTGGCGCAGAACTGGTTAGGTAAATAGATACAAATTATGTCAGGTCAAGTTGTGTGCTTGTTATAATCCTATCTGCTGTGATGTGTGATGCATGTCATTGACAATAAAAAGCCCTATGTAGGTACGGATATGCAATATCCACTGATGATAGTTCAACGTTAAGAAGTTAGCTGTTAATTTTTGTATTTAATTTTTGAAGGGTGGACCCTGGAGTCTATATATAAAACATTTGTTGAATGCATATCAGTATAACAAAATGTGTCTTTAATTCTTGTAAGAGATTAATGCTTGTATCTTCACCTCCATCTACTAGCCAAAATGTGGTATAGATTTCTCATTCAGGTGTTTCAGATAACTATGCCACATTTTGGCCACTAGATAGCGGTGAATATACTGGCATTAATCTCTTCCCAAAAAATTAGTAGCAGGCCCAAAAAATACATCTTTTGCAGCAAGTGACATCCACGACACGGGCGACTGTTAGAAACATAATTTGCTTTAGTTTTGTGGGATCTTCTCTATTTCCTACTGTTAGCTAAAGCTGTGTGTTTAGGATTCATTGCATTTAAAATGTTTAAGACATTTACAGACTAAACAGGCAGGCAGGTATTCCTTATGATACAGTATTGTTTAAAAAAAAAAATACAAGTATGTTTTTGAATGTTTTTTTTAGTTTTGTTTTGATTGAAGAGCATTTCAAACTTTAGACAGCAGCATACACAAATCTTTGAATTTCAGGTGCTATGTGGCTCTTTGTCTGATTTTTCTCCTTTCTCCCTTGTGTTCTCCCCTTGCATAGCTGCCAGAAAGTGTTGAACATGTGGTGAGTTGTACATATGCAGAGGCAGGCAGAACCAGCTCCGTCATAATAACAGTCATAACTGGCTTCTTGGGGTTGTTTCTAATATGGTGCCCTTGTAATATATACATTCCAACTTTTTGTAGAATTCAGCAGTATTTATAACACACCTTTGTTTACATACAAGGAGCTGTTTTGCCTGCCACAATTTGTGTTTGTGTCAGTGGATTAGATTTTTGTGCACATATGCCTGCTGTTACACTCAATTTGTTTTTATGACAGCTTTATTTTAGTCTTCTCTTTCGATCTGCCACATAAGTTAATATGTATCTTAAAAGTTTGTTTTTGCATGAGTACAGTTATGTGTAGATCTTGCTGGATAGGGTGAACAGGAAATGAGGATGACCATAGATCTACAACTTTGATATGACATCCTAAATATACTGCCTCTACTACGTTCTTTCTCTTGTTGGCCACAGTATGACATCATGGACCACTTACCAGCAAAGTAATACTGTCTTGGCACATTACTTTTTTGAACACTCCTTGTCTGGGCCAATTCTAACATTTCTCTCATAATTTTTGTTTTTTTTTAAAGAAAATTACTTAGAACCCTCAAGCATTGTTTTTCTTTAAGCAGAGGCCCTGGAGAATAAATTGGTGACATTGCACTTTGTCGCACAATATTTGCGCAGTGTCTTATTAAATGTAAACCTTTATGAAAAAATACACTTTTTAATGAATTTTAGTGCATGCAAACACTCATAATACTACTAATACTCATTTTTTGGTAAAAAAAAAATCTTACACCAAGCAAATTGATAGCGAACATGTCCGCAAACCATCGACAAACTTCAGTACCTAAAAATCTCCATAGGCAACACTTTTAAAAGCCTTTACAAATGATCAGTTTACAATTACACAGGAGGTCTAGTGCTAGAATTATTGCTCTCACTCTGACATTCGCGATGATGCCTCACATGTGTGGTGTGGTGTGATCACCGTTTTATATATGCATGTAAAATATACGTGCATGTTTGGATTTGCACGTGAGCACAAGGGGATGGGGGCGCTTTACATTTTTTTACACTGTACCTTTAATTATATTTTAAATTAACTTTAAACAACATCCCTTGTGACAGCGTTGGCCATGAAAAGATCCTCTTTTTGAAGCGATGGGCGGCTATATAGCCGCTTGATCACTTTTACATGAAAAACTATCCCCTACTCTAAAAAATAATACCTTGATCATGGCTGCAGCCATGATCGTGATATCACCACTCCTGTCTGTGGATGTATATATACAGTGGACGGGAAGTGGTTAAATGCTTAAATAATTTGCCATTAACAAATCAGCCTAATTCAGTTTGTTTCCTAGAAAATGTTTATTTCTTAATACATTGAGGAAGTGTTATATTCTGTCAGGTTTTTGTTTCTTTCTGCCTTTCTTCGCTAAGGAGATTTTCCTGCACTACAAGTGGTTATCACTGGGTCAGGGGGGCACAGACAGAAAATATTGTCAGAAGTTCTAACCCTTCCCCACGCTGTTAAAAATTAAATAAAAAAAAAAGCAGCACTTTTTTTGCTTGTGTGCTCTTTGGAAAGGTTTCCTTTCACATCCTTTTCTGATAGGCGGTAGAGACAAACATTTCCAGCAGGGATATAAACCGCAATAAAAGTCTGTATAAGTTTTAACCCTTCTTTTTATCTAAAATGAAAAGTTTTTTCACTAGACTTGGAGTTTTAAAGTCAGATTTGCCAGTACCACTCTCTTGTTCACACATTAGATTTGAAGTATAAATTTTATTCTGGGGCAGTCAATCCAGAAAAAAGTTTTTTTAAATTATATGCCATTCCCATTGCTTTTAATATTAACGTCTAATGGGTTTGTACACAATTGCTTAATACTGCTACACTCTATATAAATAAACCTTTACTTCTTTTTGTCTCTTTTTCCAAAATTAACTCTCAAAATCACAACAGTCATTCATACATTATTAGACTGTTTAAGATTTCAATAAGAGACCATGTCTTTAAAAGGAGATAACTTTGTAAAAATTGATATTAAAGGCTTACAGAATACAAACATTTCATACTTGCCTCCTCTGTGCAAGGGTTTTTGCACAGAGCAGCCCAGATCCTCCTTTCCTCGGGTTCCCTACTAGCACTTTGGGCTCCTCTTCCCTGCCAAGTTTACTTAAAGCAATCTGCTTGTTCTGGGGTTACTCATGCATTCTCACTCCCGAGCCGGCCCTGGGTGGCCATAAGACACATAGAGTAAAGTTTGGCCTGCTCCCCAATCCCTCCTCACTGACTATGAACCAGTGAGAAGGCATCGAGCCGGGACAGCAGCTCCTCTCGTGCACGGTGCTGGACCGGGATCATGCTCGGGTGAGTATTAGGGGGTTGCGGTGGGAGCTGCATAATGAAGGTTTTATACCTTCATGCATAGAATGCATGAAGGTTAAAAATCCTTCAGAATTTACAACCACTTCAAGCTGGCTTTACATCGAAATTTTCAGGGACCAGTTGAATTTCGATCCACATATTGGCAAGCAGGTTGTACAAAAGTCAGTCTTTCGATTGACTTCTTTACAACCACCCTGTCGGATTTTCCCCACTTGATTAGCTCTGCCAGCTATAGCCGGCAGCGCTGATCACTGTATTGTGATGGAAGATATCTCCTATCAAAATACAATAATTCAGTGGGGAGGATTCCCCCATCCACTGTGTTGTAAATCCTCATCTTCTAGTCAATTGACTTAAATCCTCTCTCCGAGGAAAGTAAAAATTGTCCCTTGTGTTGAGACTGCCTCTGCACGGCAAGCTTTAAATGATCATTTTTAGGTTTAGCAGACCAAGAAAAGCGGTTTCACCATCCTGATCATCTGCCCTTCCAGAAGCTGGTGCTCTCCTCCTCTCCCCTAGGCTCCAGCAGTGGACTGTACATTTGTGTCATTATGTCCAGTGCAGGAGCCTAGGGGATAAATAAAACTGCTTTGTGTGGTCCCCTAGGCCTAAATGAGCACTTAACTTGGCCCCGCTACAAGTTAGAATTTTTCTCCAAAAAGATTTGAAACTTTAAAGCAAAAAATTACTCTTGCTCAGCACTGGGCATGCCCCTTAACGCTCGTGTTATCAGCTCTCAGGGTTAGTGATTGGCCACTAAGAGTATGACACTGGTAACAAGGTAGTACACAGTGTGAAGATATTTTTTATGTATATGAAAACAAAATAGTTTACTGTAAAAAGAATTTCTCCAGAGGTGAAAGTTTTGTTGCTGAAACATATATAAAGTGGCATCAAAGCTTAGTTATATCCATTAACTACTTTTCTAAGTGCTAAACTTTCTAAATATTGTTAAAGGAGGAGTATGGCCAAAGCTTTTTTTTTTTTTGGGCTATACCTCTCTAATGGATCAAAGAACTGCCATTCATTCTGCACTCCTTTGACCCATTTTTAGCCGACATCGGGCGAAAACCTGCTGTCAGCTGAAGTCAGCTGGTCCAGGCTCACAGAAGATCCCAACTTTACAGTCGGAGATCCACCCAGGTGCCTGGATCAGCAGCATGCTCAGCCTCTCAGCTGCACTGCTAGGAGACTGAGCCAGCTGCTTCCTTCGTTTCCCAGCCCAGCGCTCCAGTGAGCACTGGAGGGACGTAGCAGGGAGCCAGAGAAGTTAGCGACCAGCGGTATTTGAATGCTCAGTTCTCAGTGCAGAGGTGGCAGAGGACAGATTTTTGATTGAAAAAATACTTTATTACATAAGTATAAAAAACACATGATACTTGTTGTCGGGGTACATCTCACCCTATACTGCGACGCAGCGCACCACATTGCAATACAGTTCCAGTACAGGTGGCAGAGGACAGATGCAGCATCGGATCGATGCTTCATCCACCTAGGTGAGTATAATTTATTTTTTTTTCGCAAACCCCATACTGCCACTTAATGGTCATGTTACAGTTGATATACTTGTTTTCTTGGTAACTGATGAGGTCCCAGATATAATTTTAAAAACTTGCCACTGTACCACACTACCAAATCCACACACTACCAAATAATATAGATATATATTAAAGCTGCTGTGAATGAAGTCAAAAGGCAACAATAAACAACACTTGAAATATTCTAATGATATGCAAGTAAAAACATAAATAAATACATAAAAAAATAATCTTTATGATCTCCGTTATAAAGCTGGCCATACATTGTTGTGGTTTTTTTTTTCTCCCTAATGCAAGGCAATGTCATAACGTGCTAGTATACATTGTAAAATTAACTTAAAATGAAGCCCCCTCTGCAATGCGCTGACAGGGCTTCCATCTTTACCCGGTCCTTTTTCTGGGGTTCGCAAGCTCCAGTGGCTTGAATGGCTGAGCCGCGATTACTTCACTCCAAGCGTGCAGGAGTCCGTTTTTATGGCATACAGCTCTGAAAGAACAGCCGTTCCTTCAGCGCTCATGCGCCAGCACTGCTTTACAAGTAAATATTTCCTAAACACCATGGCAATCAACATTAAAATACACACACATTCTCATCTAACATGACCAGATCCTTCACATACTGGCTTTCTTCAACCTGGCACTGTAAACCACAGACTTGCCACTGACTTTATTTTACATTAAGAACTGACATCACAAAGATTAGATCATGAATAGATTTTATTAAGAATAACACGTGCATGTTATGAGATTTTATTATAGTATTTACTTGCATATGTGTTACAAAATAGTATTAGGCGCAGAAACAAGATTTAACAAAACAAAAACAACAAAACTCTGGAACACAAGGGGGTACCAGGAGAAAAAAAGCTCAAGGACTCAAGGTAGTTAAAGGAAGCATAACCATAATATGATCAAACAAGCACATACAGTGGCTTGAAAAAGCATTCTTACCCCTTGAAATTTTCCACATTTTGTCATGTTACAACCAAAAACGGAAATGTGTTTTATTGGGATTTTATGTGATAGACCAACACAAAGTGGCACATAATTGTGCAGTGGAAGGAACATGATAAATGGTTTTCAAAATCTAGTGGAACCAATTGCCTTCAGAAGTCACCTAATTAGTAAATAGAGTCCGCCTATATGTAATTTAATCTCAGTATAAATACAGCTGTTCTGTGAAGCCCTCAGAGGTTTGTTAGAGAACATTAGTGAACATACAGCATCATGAAGGCCAAGGAACACACCAGACAGGTCAGGGATAAAGCTGTAGTGAAGTTTAAAACGGGGTTAGGTTATAAAAAAAATATCCCAAGCTTTGAACATCTTACGAAGCACTGTTCAATCCATTATCCGAAAATGGAAAGAGTATGGCACAACTGCAAACCTTCCAAGACATGGCCGTCCACCTAAACTGACAGGCCAGGCAAGGAGAGCATTAATCAAAGAAGCAGGCAAAAGGCCCATGGCAAATTCTGGAGGAGCTGCAGAGATCCACAGCTCAGGTGGAAGAATATGTCCACAGGACAACTATTAGTCGTGCACTCCACAAATCTGGCCTTTATGGAAGAGTGGCAAGAAGAAAGACCTTGTTAAAAGGAAGCCATAAAAAGTATTGTTTGCAGTTTGCGAGACGCCATGTGGGGGATACAGCAAACATGTGGAAGAAGGTGCTCTGGTCAGATAAAAACTTTTTGGCCTAAAAAGCAAAACGCTGTGTGTGAAAGCCAACATTGCACATCACCATGAACACACCATCCCCACCGTGAAACATGGTGGTGGCAGCGTCATGTGGGGATGCCTTTTTTCAGCAGGGACAGGGAAACTGGACAGAGTTTGTGGGAAGAGCCAAATACAGGGCAATCTTAGAAGAAAACCTGTTAAAGAGCCTGCAAAAGACTTGATACTGGGACGGAGGTTTACCTTCCAGCAGGACAACGACCCTAAACATAAAGCCAGAGCCACAATGGAATGTTTTAGATCAAAGCATATTCATGTGTTAGAATGATGCAGTTAAAGTCCAGACCTAAATCCAATTGAGAGTCTGTGGCAAGACTTGGAAAATTTATGTTTACAGATGCTCTCCATCCAATCTGACAGGAGCTATTTTGCAAAGAAGAATGGGCAAAAATGTCACTCTCTAGATGTGCAAAGCTGGTAGAGACATACCCCAAAAGACTTGCAGCTGTAATTGCCGCAAAAGGTGGTTCTACAAAGTATTGACTCGGGTCTGAATACAAAAGCACTCCAAGCTTTTCACATATTTATTTGTAAAAAAATTTGAAAACCATTTATCATTTTCCTTCCACTTCAAAATGATGTGTCACTTTGTGTTGGTATATCACATAAAATCCCAATAAAATACATTTACGTTTTTGGTTATAACATGACAAAATGTGGAAAATTTCAAGGGGTATGAATACTTAATCCAGGCACTGTACAAATATTTTTAGCAAAATACCCCTGTACATAATATAACCTCTTAAAATACTGCATACAAATTCTCAGTAAAATATTCCATATTAATTGTTGCAAAAAGTAAATGGTTTTTGCTGTAAGTTCCAACTTTGTACTTGTAACAATGGTGGAGAAACAGAGTTGTAAAATAATTTATAAATGCTATACATTATCAAAAATTTTGTATATTTAATATTAACATGTGTAGCAGATCAGAAATCTTTCTTGTCACTTTCTTTTGTCTTAATCAAAAGCAATGCTCTCAACTTTTCTTAAACTGTGTTTCAGATAATTTATTCATGTCATATATTGTATATAAGAAAATTGTGGCTTTCATATGTCATCTTTGATTGCTGCAACCATGACTTGTCAATTGGCATTATTTCAATCTTGACATTTTTTCTAAAAAAAAAAAAAAGAAGGCAGCCTGGTTTTGTGTACCTCTGTTATTGTGAATTTTTAAAATCTCTTAAAGAATAGAAATTGACTAAATGTGATTTTGCAATATTTGCTGGGTTTTCAACAGTTGTTTACTTTATTTTTGAATTATTTGTTCTGTAAGTTGAGAGAGCTGCTAAGAATGATCACTTCTTCACAGCATTCCATTCATTGTTTTCACTGGTCACGTGTGTTAAATGCCAAAGTCCATAATATTTCATTATACTAGACATCTGTCTGAAACAGCGCCATTATCTGAGCAGACCACACTTGTAAACGACAACATTTTCTTATGAAGATTAAAGATGCACTAAGTCCAGGAGTTAAGCTGGCCATAGACAGAGTGATTTTCTTTTCAGTGACCACAGGTTGGAGAAAAGAAAATTACTCAATTCCCATCAACACAGTCAGTGTTGATGGGGAAATCCCTCCCTCGGAGCTGTTGTGTTCTCCTGGCAGGGGGAGCAGTCCCCGTCGGGAAAACACAGTGATTACTGCTAGAGCCTATAATAGCCGCTAGCAATAATCGCATGAAAAATCCAATAGACTGGTTGTACCCAAGTTGCTCGATCAACTTGGGTACGTTCAGCCTGCCCTTACCTGGTTCGAATCTCAGCTGGACCCTGCTGAGCCAGCAGAGATTCGAACCATCTATGGCCAGCTTTAGTTAACAGTTCATTGTATTACACACTATAGAAGAGTTTATCCTTAAAGCAGTTCAAGTAATGTGTATATTCATCTGTTTTGCCTTTGAAATCTTAACTGCACAGTATACAATATAGCAGCAAGCTTTTATCTCAGTCCATTAACTTGAAAGTTCTCGCTTATTTGTCTTTCTGTATATTTAAAGCTAAACGTGTGAGGTGGTCTAATTTTGAATGAAGGTTCTTAGTAGGCCATTATTTTTAGAGGCAAGTAATCAGAATGATATTTTAGAATTATTTTCTACAGCCATTTGAAAACATAAAATTACCAATCACCACCCTAATTTCTGTTCCAAGTACACTCATAAAGATTTTTATGCAGTATGCCTCTGTAAAATGTTAAATTCATAAAAGGGGATCTTACTGAGGATTTATTGTACGTTTCCCTAATTATTTTATTGAAAGTCAGCATGTAATTGTATAAAGTTTACTAATAGTTGAAATACCTTTTTTCCTTTTTCTTTTTTTTTTCTCTCTCGTACAGAATAGAGAAGTTGTTAGTCTTTAAGGCTCAGTTCACACTAGTGTGGGTGGAAGCCGTCGTGGGATGTGCACTTTGTCCCACAGCTGCAAGACCCACACACAAAACGTGGGACCTGCGGGCGGTTGCTATTGATCATAATGACACGCCTCCCGCACTTAAAATTGCACACACACTGTAGTGCAGTTCCCAGTGCAGGCTACTATTTCTGGAAAGGTGCAGGGACCTTTTCCCTGCGTTTTACTTGGTAGGCAGTTAAAGGAATGGGCTGCTGTGCCCATGCTAATGCAGCCGCACAATACGCAAAGGTGTGAACCTAGGCTTAAGGATAAGTTCATTTTTTAAAAAAGGGCAGGTGCTTTTTAGTAGCAAGGTACATGTTACACCCAAAATACAGGTGTAACATGTTACTAAAGGTGAACTTATCCTTTAAATTATAATCAAGCAGAAAAGGAAATACTGTACAAGGGGTTAGAAAAAAATGCATATTCTTCCAAGAAACCCCTTCAGTTTTTTGGACTGAAATGTAGAGGAGCTCTACCAGTACTGCCATTTTAATCCCAAATCATGTCTTCTTTTCATGGATGGACTGAGCCTGCTTAGTGATTTCAGTAGTGCATTAAAATGTTTGTGGTTGGGAGATTTCATGAGATCCTGACTAATATCTTATACAGGGGTCTACTGCACCACCTCAAGAGAAGAAATTTCTCTTTGGTCTAAGATTTGTTTTAGATCCTTATTCTGAGATCAAATTTGCAGAAGTGTTCAGGTGGTACACATTTCCCAGGTTGAGAAGCTTTTGTTCAGATTACATTTTTTTAAAGTATCATCCTTCCATTTAGACCATCTTGACTTCTTAGTGAGTGTTTATTATGTTTTGGTTGTTCGTTACATACATGTAGTGCATGTGTGAATCTGAATCAGTTTGTAGCTTTCACCCAATTGTGTATGCAGAAGAACATGTATGTGATGCATGCCCAGTCCTAATAATACAGAATCCAAACTGTTGCTCACCAAAGATATTTCTTTCTGTTTCCAATCTTTAATTTCAACTTTTTCTTTTTATAGGTGCTGTTGCTTTTTCAAGAGGAGGAAAAGGAAAACCATTCAGCGTCACAAATGACTCTGGAAAAGGGCAGACCATGGGGAATTACTCACTTGTTCATCTGCTGTCCTGTGATAACACACAACAAAAAATCATCTCCACAATGACCATGTTTCGTTACTTTCTTCCCCCCTTTTACAGCATCATGTTCCCATGCCTCTGTCTTACACACATTTTATGATGTCCAACCTCTAGAAGCTTTAAAGTTTTGTCAAAATAGAATTCTTTACAGTAAATGGACCAATTATGTGGTACAGACATAAGTTACTGTCTTCAGCCAAATGCAGTTTAACCACCACTGGAAACTGCTAGCTGTTCTTAGATGGATAAGTCGTCAACAAGCTTTTTCACATGCAAACCGTGGCTAAGGATTGTCTGCTAAAGCTTTAAAATAACACACTAAAAGCCTTCCCTTTTGGAGATTTTCAGTTCAATATTGGCAGATATTTACAGTATTACTGAAATGGTACTGTGTTAATCAGTAGTTAGCCTTACCTTTCTCTCTCATTGTTTAAAAGGTACAACCACTGCCCAGAGGTACACAGGACGAACCTGTCTGGACGTGACTGGGGAAAATGTACAAAAGCAGTCAGACACAGACTCCTAAGCAGTAAATATAATAGTTCTTTATGTTGTACCTCTTGCAGTGATGGAGAGAACTAGAAACAGCAAGGACTGTAGTCCTGAATGTACATGATGTAATTTGTGCTTCTTGGTAATGTGTTTTAGTAACACAAAAAAAAAAACACACTTAAAAATTATTACTCAACTGATGTAAGTTAACACTACATGAAGGAGTCGGAGGTTAGGAATTAATAAAATAAGCATATGGTAGCTGGAAGGCACTTTGCATACTGCTTGATGCAGAAAAGCATATTACTCCGTTTAATAGAAATTTTAAAATCTGTCATGTGATAGGTGTGTAAAACCATTTTACTCTTCAGCACGAAGCAGCGGAGTTGATGGGTGCTTCACTTGTCGTGTGTATGCCTGCAGTTAGCTGATGCTTTCAGAATTGTTCTCAATGCAACTTTGTGGTAGGGCACGGTGGAAAGCATTGGCTGAACACTTCTTCTCCATTATTTTCTTCTGGTAAAAAGAAGTGTCTGCTTTTTTTTTTTTTTTTTTTTTGGGAGATGGGGAGGAGGAGTGATTTCTCAGTAAGAATTTTGAGGTTTATTAATGACATCAACTTCAAAGTCCAGCAGTAAAGTAATGTTCTGATCCAGAACCTTGTAGCTTCTAAGCGGTGAAGCCATGATAATTGTCTTTATTGCATTTAACTGCATTAGGCCAGCTTTTTTTTTTTTTTTTTTTTTAAGGGAACTGGCTAGAACAAATTTCTGACCAAACTCTGGTTAATTTATGTCACAATATAAATCCAAAAGTCTCCTAGCTTGAACTTTTTTTTCTTGTCTATCAGCACATGCTCTATGGCTAACTTATTTATTTTTTAAGTCTGGTTTGTGGTAACATAAATCATTGTTTATTGCAATTAGATAAATGCACATCTTTGAGTTCATTATTGCATTTACAGGGATTTTAATTGTCATTTGTAACTTATTTTGTTAACAACCAAGAGTGCAGTGCTTATTTTTGGATGGTTTATGCGCTCACATGAAAACATTGAAAAATTACTGATGTGACAATGGTTGTTTGTTTTTTTTTTTTGTTCCCCCCCACTGTCGCTGTACATTTTTTTCTTTTTCATTGGTCAAATACATTAATTTCATCCCTCTGTCAATGACATAATCCGTACTGCAGTTTTCAGTCTGCCTTGTTTGTGTTACTGTCTTAATCTCAAGAATGATCTATATATATATATATATAAATACATATATATATTTTTTTTTCGTTATGAAAGATGAGAGTTGTGGCCATTCTAATGTGAAATCACTTCTGTCTCTACAGTATTTGACCAAATTTTATTGCACCATATTGTAAATACATGCAGCAACTTGTGTTTCTTATATAATACACCTGTTTATTTTGTTTTCTTGTTAGATCTTTCTTTTTTGTGGAGAGAAGAAGCTATTTGGCCTGTACAGTGTTTATATGATCTGAACTCATCACACATAACAAGAAAATGTGTATATTAATCCAATTGTGGACTTCAAATATTTAAAATACAAAACCCTTTATTTGCTGCAATGACCAGTATGTAGACATTTGCTTTTTAGCAATATTTAAGTGCTCCGTTTGCTGCCATGTAAAGGGGAGGCTCTCTTTGGCAGCACTAACTGGTCAATAATAGGTAATGCAGGTATGTTCAGGTTAAGCCAACAATGTTTTGCATTTATATGCTTTTTCCCTGTCTATACTAATGAAGTCAACATTGCCTGAATGTTAAAATAATGGAATAAATCCCTGTTTAAAAGTATGTAACTGAAATAAAAAATAAAGGTAGTTTTTTTAACTTGCCTTTTTTTTCTTTTCATGCTGTTGCTCATGTATGAACAGTGCTATGTTTTTTTGTTTTGTTTTTTTTTTTTTACACAAAGGTAAAAAAATAAAAATAAAAACAGCTAAACCTGAAATATAAATCTCACAATATACAAAGCCATTTAAAAGAAGCATGCAAAGATATAAATGTAAGACTGTCCAATTCTTTTAATGGTGTGTCCTCTGGGCCTGTCATCCTGTTTTAGGCTTCACTATGTAGTTGTCTGGTGTATGTCAATTTTTAAAGTCTGAAATATTTTTTCTTTTCATGCTGTGCTCATGTATGAACAGTGCTATGTTTTCTTTTTTTACACATGGGTATGTCACTTTTTAAAGTCTGAAATTTGGTGTTCTTTCAGCAGGGCTGTTCTGTTAGGTCTCTTTCACACAGGCATTCTGGTCAGTTTTGCCTGTCGGTTTTTCAGACGGACTTGATCAGCTGTTCTGTGGAGCCTTTTGAATAGGCAGATGTAAACAAACTTGTGGCCTTTTACAACTACCTCTGGATTCGTCCAGGTCCAGAAAAAAAGAACTGTGTCCTTGTCCAGTTTATGCAGACCAGACTGGAGGTAGCCTGATGTAAACAGACAACTGCTGTACATAGAGCTGAAACGGTTCCACATGTACAGTCAGGTCCATAAATATTGGGACATCGACACAATTCTAACATTTTTGGCTTTATACACCACCACAATGGATTTGAAATGAAACGAACAAGATGTGCTTTAACTGCAGACTGTCAGCTTTAATTTGAGGGTATTTACATCCAAATCAGGTGAACGGTGTAGGAATTACAACAGTTTGCATATGTGCCTCCCACTTGTTAAGGGACCAAAAGTAATGGGACAATTGGCTTCTCAGCTGTTCCATGGCCAGGTGTGTGTTATTCCCTCATCCCAATTACAATGAGCAGATCCAGAGTTCATTTCAAGTGTGCTATTTGCATTTGGAATCTGTTACTGTCAACTCTCAAGATGAGATCCAAAGAACTGTCACTATCAGTGAAGCAAGCCATCATTAGGCTGAAAAAAACAAAACAAAAACCCATCAGAGAGATAGCAAAAACATTAGGTGTGGCCAAAACAACTGTTTGGAACATTCTTAAAAAGAAGGAACACTCCGGTGAGCTCAGCAACACCAAAAGACCCGGAAAACCACGGAAAACAACTGTGGTGGATGACCGAAGAATTCTTTCCCTGGTGAAGAAAACACCCTTCACAACAGTTGGCCAGATCAAGAACACTCTCCGGGAAGGTAGGTGTATGCGTGCCAAAGTCAACAATCAAGAGAAGACTTCACCAGAGTGAATACAGAGGGTTCACCACAAGATGTAAACCATTGGTGAGCCTCAAAAACAGGAAGGCCAGATTAGAGTTTGCCAAACGACATCTAAAAAAGCCTTCACAGTTCTGGAACAACATCCTATGGACAGATGAGACCAAGATCAACTTGTACCAGAGTGATGGGAAGAGAAGAGTATGGAGAAGGAAAGGAACTGCTCATGATCCTAAGCATACCACCTAATCAGTGAAGCATGGTGGTGGTAGTGTCATGGCGTGGGCATGTATGGCTGCCAATGGAACTAGTTCTCTTGTATTTATTGATGATGTGACTGCTGACAAAAGCAGCAGGATGAATTCTGAAGTGTTTCGGCAATATTATCTGCTCATATTCAGCCAAATCATTGGACGCCGCTTCACAGTGCAGATGGACAATGACCCAAAGCATACTGCAAAAGCAACCAAAGAGTTTTTTAAGGGAAAGAAGTGGAATGTTATGCAATGGCCAAGTCAATCACCTGACCTGAATCCGATTGAGCATGCATTTCACTTGCTGAAGACAAAACTGAAGGGAAAATGCCCCAAGAACAAGCAGGAACTGAAGACAGTTGCAGTAGAGGCCTGGCAGAGCATCACCAGGGATGAAACCCAGCGTCTGGTGATGTCTATGTGTTCTGAACGCTGTAATTGACTGCAAAGGATTTGCAACCAAGTATTAAAAAGTGAAAGTTTGATTTATGAATATTATTCTGTCCCATTACTTTTGGTCCCTTAACAAGTGGGAGGCACATATGCAAACTGTTGTAATTCTTACACTGTTCACCTGATTTTGGATGTAAATACCCTCAAATTAAAGCTGACAGTCTGCAGTTAAAGCACATCTTGTTTGTTTCATTTCAAATCCATTGTGGTGGTGTATAGAGCCAAAAATGTTAGAATCATGTCGATGTCCCAATATTTATGGACCTGACTGTATCTGCTGGGCAGAAAACTGAACAGGCATGGATGTGACATCCATCATCTTCTGCTCTAATCAACAAAGGAGCTGACTCTGCTCCACATGAAAGGAGCCCTAGGCTATTTTTTCTGTTTTCTTTCACCTGTGCCTCATTTGATTTGTGTATGTTTCCAATTAGGATCTCCACCCTCATCAGCCACAGGCTTGTTTATCCATTTGTTTTAGGGCCCATGAGGTGTGGCAGTCCTTGCTGCCCTTCTGATTGGAGATGCAGAAACGAATGGGATGTAATACGTTGCCTTCTCACTGACTGTTTAACCTTTTAAAATGCCAACCTA